CCTCCCCTCCCCTTCTCTCATTTCCGTTTCTTTTTTCTTCTTTCTCCTTTCTTTCTTTTCTTTTCCCAAATGAAAAACTAGACTCGCTAAAGACCGACGGGCTTAGGAGTTGTTCAGCCTCCAGTGATCGTGAATCTGTGGCCAGGGGCCCACCAGGAGGTGGGAATCAACACTGTGTAGGAGCAAGCTTGTAATCCCCACTCGGGCAGGGAAGGAGGTGTCTCTGTGGTGCTGCAAACACCCCCGTAACCTGCGGTGCTCTGAGCTCTGCGGCTGTGTTGTTTGGGACAGATGTTGGTCAGAAGGGAGAACTTGGGTCACCAAACGCAAAGAGGCGTTGAGGACGCGTTCCCAGCCGCAGTCCCTGCCAGGTGAGGAAGCCCCCTCGTTCTGCACGGACAGCTTCCCTCCAGGCACCAACCAGCAGCACGTTGCTTCTTTCCTCATACTTCCAAAAAAAACAATCAGTTCCTCACAGGCGGGTTGCCCAAAACTGGGACGGGAAGGAGAGCAGGACTCAGGGACACACCTCCAGATCAGGGAAAACTCTGATGTTGTTTGGCAGGAGGCGGCGCCATCCAGAGAAAACATGAGGGGAGGATGATGGAGAGACCCCCACGCTTCCTTGCCACCGGCGGGACTCCCTGCCCGCCCCGCCCCCGCTAGCGAACTTCACCGGAGTAAAACCTCCAGAGCTCGGGAAAACAACAACTACAAAAAACACTTTTCCACGCCCCCACCCCTTCCGGACGCGTTAATACCCTATTTTCATCCGACATAAGGGTTTCTACCTGTTTTTTTCAAGCTGCTCTGAACGGACCGATGCCCGCGCCTCTCTCCCTCCGGAGAGACAAATATAATTTAAAAAATCCCCAACCCTCAAATAGTATATTACATTACACCTGTTATTCTTATCACTATAAATAAGATTATTAATAATCTTCATTAGCATTATTATTAAGAGAAAGCACAAAGAAACCAACCTGCGGAGCGGAGTGGTGCCCTCTCCTCTGAACCGACGGACAGATGGTAGGACGGACAGACAGGGAGGGAGGGTCAGCCTTGGTGAGACCCTTCCGTGCCCCCTTCCTCCAGTTCGGTGGGAGCCACCGCTCACAGCCGGTCGGCACATGGGATGGTGCCGAGCCCGGAGCGGCCGAGAGCGGCAGGAGGGACGCGAGGGAATCGAACAGGGACGCAGGAAACAGAGGAGAAACGAGGGAATCGAGTAGGAACGGGAGGATTCAGGAGGGACGGGGCGATCGGGGAGGGAAGGGGGGAGTCGAGGAGGGACGGGGGGGATGTGATGAGGCGCTGCCGCCCCCAGGCGGCGCCGCACGGAAGCGCCTCGCTCCTCACATGCGGTGCATCCCCGCATCCTCCCGCTCCCTCGGGCATACTGGACCACCGTCCCCGCTGCCTCGGGAACCAAGAAATGGGTAAATATCAGAATAGGCAGGAAAAATTGTGACAGCAACAACAAGGCATGCGGAGGCGAGGTGGAAAAGAGAAAAAAAATAAATAAAATATGAATAAGTCTGAAAAATAAAGGATACTTCCTGCTTTTTAAGGCAAATGTGGTGGGTCCCTGTGGAGCAACCAGGGGCCAAAGCGAAAAATAGGGAAAACCGGAAAAATTTGGAAAGGGTGAAGGGAGGAGGAAAGGGAAGAGGAGAGAAAATTTGAAGCAAATGCAGGGGAACGAGGCCGAGGAGGTGGGTCACAATGAACGCGAGCGTGGAGGTAGGAGGACAGTTGAAAAACATGTCCATGACATGGATGTGAAAAATCATCTGCAGTGTGGAAAAGAACATTTGTCTTTTTTTATGTGTGGTTTTGTTTGTTTGTTTTTTAAATACATATGTTTGCTGGGGGTTGTGTGGTCTTTATGGTTTTGTTTGTTTGTTTGATTTGGGGGGTTTTTGTTCTTTGGTTTTATTTATCTATTTATTTATGTATTAAAATTTTATTTTTAGAATTTTATTTTATCCTCTGTTAGGGGCAAGCAGTGGTTCTGTCAGCTGGCGCGGGTGCTCTCTGGTCTTCCCTATCCTACCCCACACATCCCCAAGGAGGTTCTACTACTGTCCAGAGAAAGAGGAGACAGTTTGTAGATTTTGGTCTCCGTAGGTGAAAGTTTACTTCAGGAAGTAACACTTAAGGAGTAAGTTTCCACCAGCCATCCCTCTTCTCATTGGTCACCAACTCTCACTTTCATCGGAAAGCCTGAGAAAGACTAACCCTTGAAGAGAAATGCATGTTTATTAGTTTACATTAGCTTCACTGAGCCTAACAGGCTCCTCTCAGTGGCAGAGTTTTGCTGCTACTGAGAGTAAAACCAGCAAGTTTGGGACATTTGCAGAAAACTGGTATTTCAGGTGCCAACTGACCCATTCAAAGCTGTTTCCATTGTGACTGTGATGAAGAATAAGAGTCTTGTTTCTGCTGCTAGGCCCTGCTTCCCACAAAGTCCTTCTTCTGCTTTGCTTGTGATTACTCATGCCAAAACATGGGAAAAAATAATTTTTCTTTCTAAAATATCATGGGACTTTGTTTTGTATGAATTTTCAGACAAATCTAGAAACATGAAAAATGTTTTATCTGGTATTCAGCAACTGACATTCAGAAGGCAAGTGTAATGAAAATAAAGTTCTAAATACTTGAAAATCAAATGATCTTTCATTGGCCTAAAGATGGTTGCAATCAAGATTATTTTCTGGGCTAGCTTTTAGTTCACAGAGATGCATACAAAAGTCTCCCTCTGTGACTTCATGTTGGACAGTTGTTAAATATAATGCTTAGATGCTCAGTTACTTGTCCTCAACTCTGCCTAAATGCCCATCATACAATTTTGACAAACAGAAAACATACAATTAATAAAAAAAATTAAAAATCTTTTCTCTGTTGGACCATTTCAAAAGAACAAGATCAAAATGAATAAAAGTAACATGCATTTTTTTCCTGTTCTGTCCAGAGCAGTAGACATAAGTGTTAGGTGCTAGATACCAGAAGGTTTTATTAAGGCTCGGAGCTGCCTATTCGCTCCTCCATTCTTAGATGTAGTTTTGAGGATCCTCAGGTTTTCCGTATATTTATAATTTCCTTATAAAACAAGCTCTAGACTCCAGTATATACATTCACTTTCTCAGCCAGAGTCACTGCAGCGCATAACACCACTTGTAATGGATTTAATCACTAATCAAATAAAAGAGTTTATTACAGAGGAACAAATGAAATATCAAAGTTAAATTTATATTTCCTTTTCTTTCTCTTCACTTCACTACACATGTTTTGGACTCTATTGCTTTTTAAAATGTTGAGCAATACTGCGGTTATGTATTTTTAAAATGAAAATGTAGACCCAAAATGTATTCAGGTTTGCTTCCCCATACAGATGTAATGCTATGATTCTTATGGCCTATTGTCACCCTGAGAGCTTTACTTTCTGACTCAGAGGTGATCTTAGAAGATCATTGCTTCTCTTACTGCAGTAAAGCCTCTTGACTTGGGGCTTGCCCCAAGGCTTCCACTAAGTTTCCCAAAAGCAAGAGAGGAGCTTCAGTCCCAGAAGTAGAATCCACAACACTGGACTAGCATTGAGAAATACAGGCAGACTGTAACTATAACGATTTCAAAGTTAATACATTCACTTCACAAACATTTATAAGATTTAAATACTTATTAAGCACACATGTAAAAATTCAGATAAGACATTTTGTGATTTTGTGAAGTGGATGAGAGCAGCAGTTTGTCTCTGAAGTTGATCCCCAATGGGAAAGTAGGAGTCTGTCAAACAGACTCATAACACCGTATTTCAGCTGTGAAAAAATGAATGCTTTTCTAAATGGAATTATCTCTAGAAAAAGAAAGAAGAATTTTAAACACAATTAAAATTGTTTTTTTACTTAATTTTAAAATTAAGTTTACTTTTTTACTGATGCTTAATACAGTTCAGATTGACAAATATTAAGTAGTCCAGAAACCAGCAATTATTCACTCTCTGGAGTGTAAGCTGAATATTCCTTTAAATGTTACTTTTTTGGCTGCACTGGATAAAATAATATCTATCAAATTTCCACTAGAGATTAAAAGAAACAAGTACCTATCCTTTAGGAAAATACCACTTTTTCCTTTTAAAAAACCATTTTTAACAACAAATATGATCTTTCAATTTCCTAAAAGTGACCACTTGTCTCCCTCATTTGCCACTAAAAACAAATCAGCTTTTAAAACTGGAGGAAGAGAATGTGATTAAGTAAACAACAGAAAATAAAATATAAAATTCTACTTGCAGTTTTTGCTCACAAGTGGGAAAGACCAGATAGTCAAATAGTTATGATATTAGTAGCAATTTTCCCTAAAGGAGTAATAAACTTTGGAGTATAGGCAACACTACTTGAAGACAGTGCTGACTTAAACGGTTCATTTTGTTACTTATTTAGTAAAAGGAAAAATGAAGAAAAGTTACCCTTTGGACAGATAGGCATTTTTTACCCCATCATATGCTTTTACTGCTGCACGCATTGCCCTTATAGGCTGACCTCACTATTTTAAAATGAGACTAGCATAAAAAACTGAGCCGTTCAAGAATCCCTGAAGAGTCCTTAATTTCTACTTTGAATGGTTTTATTCCTGGCAACAGGACAGTGGTCTCCCTTCACTGATGAAATTCAGTATCATTACATGATATGCCAGTGTGAGACTTGGAGGGACTGAATGGCAGACCTGGTCTGGACTGTCCCTGACATTTTTGGGAGTTCCAGCAATGATGGCAAGTACAAGAAGGTCTGCTGGTGACACAGACTGAGGGAGCTGTGGACATTGATTCCCTTCAGCAACAGAAATCAATGATTCAGCCAAGTATGTACCACACAGTTTTCCCTAATAACTCACAATTACTGATCTGTTCATCACAAGCAACTATTCCTTATGTCAGATCTTGGTTTGTTTGCAATCCCCTCCGCTGTGCTGCCAAAAGAGGGATGTGGCATATGACAACCCTTTTTTTCCTCCCAGTGTCCTTTTATGTTTTCCATTCTTTTCAGATGGTACTGCTGGATGGGTTTTCAGGTCAAGATTTTTTTGTTAATGGAATTATCTTCAGAAGAAGAAAGAAGAATTTTTAACACAACTAAAATTGTCTTTTTTACTTAAACTTAATTTTAAAATTAAGTTTACTTTTTACTGATGCTTGATACAGTTCAGATTGACAAATATTAGGTAGGCCAGAAGCCAGCAATTATTGGTATTTTCCTACAAAACTTTCCTTCCTTCAGCTTATTGTGCTAGCGACAAAGGCAAATTTTCACTACTTCCCACCGTATTGTAGCCATTTAACAGCAACAACAACAACCCTCCCTCCTGAATTGTCCAAATGTTTGCTACTGGTAGGTTAATATCTCATGTTCATTTATCATTCAGCACAGGATTTCTTGTCTGGAAGGCAGAGGTGACTCAGATTGTTTGTCTCAAATAGATCACAAACATCTGTCCTCTGATCACCCTTCTGCCCTCTTACATGAAATATTGCGTTTC